ATTTGGAGCCTCTAACTCAATCCCTCTAGTGCAACCAACTGTGCAAATTTGCACTTTATGCTAAAAACGTATGAATCATAATTCCTTGATTGAACCTGATTCTTTGTCTCAAGATGATTCGATTGCATTGACTTAATTTTCCATTGCGATTGCATGACTTTTTTGAACTCCTCCTAGACTGTCGGTCCAATTTTTGCGAAAATCGAACTAGATTATCTTCAGGCCATGCTGACAAAACGTGATCAAATTCAAGTTGATTAGTCGAACCGTTCGTGAATAACACCTGAACAAATTTGATAAATTAGTTGGATGTGAGGCTATATCTCAGCAACACTTCAGTGTATTCAAACCAAATTTGGTGTGTGTTATGACATCCATGACCTGGGCGTGTAAACTTTTGAATTACAGTTTGCTTCAGAAGTTAAATTAACATCTTGCATATTCTGCAAGAGGCACATAAACTATAAGCAGAACTGTATGTACCCCAGTGCTTCATGTGAATTGTCCTCAAAAGAGTAGAGATTTAACAAAGAGATTGTTAGTTAATTTTTAGCTGTTAATGTTTAAAATCCTGTTAAAAGGTATTTTTTAAGTTTTTACTCAAGTTCTTATTTTTTTATGGAAAATTGCATTATTTATTATACACGATTTATCTGTGTACATCATTCATGTGCCCTCATAATTTTTTATAAAAATAATTTCCCCTCCCTCTTGCAATGACAGTTTTTATTCTTTAGTTTAAGCTGAAGCACTAAATAACTCAAACTAAACAAACTGACGCTAAAATCTAAAACTTAATAAATATGTAAATAATAAAAATGACAAGCAACAAAATTACTACAACTTTAAGATTAATGAAAGCATTTATAGCTTGAAATAAAATAAGTACTAGCTGAAATATGAAAATAAGTGAAATATATATTAAGAAATTATTTCAGCTAGTTGCCAAGAAAAGTTGAGTTAAGTTGAAGTACTAAAATAATTAAGATTAAATAAATGGACACTGAAATCGAATTTAATAAGAACTATATAGACGTAGACAAAAACACAACAAAATTACTAAAAATAATGACAGCAGTAAACAGAACAGACAACAGAAATGTATATGAAGTGTTTTTGTGTTTGTCCGTTTTTAACGAGCTCTGACTCTTGACATTAATGACAACAGATCTCACAGTGTGACATGGCTGATAGCTGGGATCAGGTTTGCACAGTTTGACAAGCAACAATCATATAGGACCATTATAGATCATATAGTGTGCACATGACTTAAAGTAACACTCGGTCCAATATAATATCCATTGTAAAACCTGTGATAAATGATGTGGCGTTCTGTCCGCAGGGGTGCGCTACAACGCTGAGCTGACGGTGGACGACTGCTTTGACATGGGCAGACTGGCCTACAATGAGATGGACTATTATCACTCAGTGCTGTGGATGCAGCAGGCGCTCAGACAGATGGACTCTGGGGAAGACGCCAAGACGGCCAAAGCTGATATTTTGGATTATCTTAGTTACTCAGTCTATCAGATGGGTGACCTGCCACGAGCCATCGAACTCACACGACGCTTGGTGGCCATCGGTAGGCCATTTCTCTCGATCTGTTATGTTTGACCAGCTAGTTGACACTAGATGATC